TTTTTTTTTTTCTCCTTCAAACTATTATTTTTATTTACATATTTTAACAGTGGTGTTTTTTATTTGTTTGTATGCCTAGTTCATACAAAAAGGTGAGGATCATTTTCCCTGCTGTAATACCTCAATCTTTACAAACTTTCTGAACAATTTGTCATTCCTGTTTTTAGCCAGCCAGTGGAAGGAAGTGATGGAATCTAGGCAGCAACCCTGTCATCCAGTCTAGCTCAAGACACAGGTGCTTTACAGATACAGGACAAAATCCTTCTTTCTGCACATAAATACACAGTTTGACTTGTAAGGCAGTGATGGTCCTAGCATTATTGTCAGTTATCTTGCCTAGAGTGGTACAGTGAAGCCCCAGGAAGGAAGAACAGCACAAACTGTAGGCAATGGGTTATTCCTGTCTTGATGTGACACTGATGAACATCTCTTAAAGGCAGCGCCTAAGGAAGGTGTTGGGAAAGTGTGAGCTGTGTAGGAAGGATAAATAGTTGAATCAAAATGGCAGAGAGGAAAATAGTAAAAATGGAGATAAGAGGAGAGGTAGCATTTAAGCGTGGATAAGGAGCTGAACCTGACACAAAGCTGAGTTCAGCCCACTTGGATGTCAGTGCTCTCTTCAGGTGCTGCTGTGGCCGTGTGAGCTGGCATGCTGAGGATGTGCTGGGAGCCTGGGCTTTGCCCCAAGTTAACAGTGCTGTTAATTAATCCTTGCTGATTGCTTCGCCTTAGGATCATTACCAAGTAGAACTGGTACTGTTGCTGTAGTCATGCTCAGAGCTTGTAAAGTACCTAATTTACAGCTGAAACTTGTCATTTATGCTGCTAAGTCACTCAGACTCCGATGTAAAAGTTATATAACTTCCTTAATGTTGTTCTAAAACCAAAATACAGACGTATTTCAAAGATGTGTTTGGCTGAAGGCCCATTTTAGAGTGGCCGGTAAAAGTAGTAAACTATCCTCAAACAATTCTGCTCAATAAAATTTGAGAATATGAAAACAAAAAGTTCCTGGTTTAGCTTTTCATAAATGCTTTCTGCACTCTGATGCTGCTGTCTCTGACGTTGCCTGTAGCTAAAAATAGGAGCTAAATATATAGTTTTTTAAGGCTCCTGACACTATCTACACTGTGGACTTATTTTATATATTTGGTCCCTGACCAAAATGCTGTACAGACAAGAAGAAATTCCAGTAGGTGTTTCTACCATCAAAACAGCACATTACTTTTTTTTCTCTCAGGGCTCCTGGAGTTTGGGCAAAAGCTGAAGGTAAAGCTGTGGTCTTGTCAAGCTCTTTCTGATGGCAAGATGACTTCAGCAGCATTTGCTGTATTGGAATTCCTTACTGTTCCTGTGTCTAGCTGGAATCTAACTTATCTAAGGAAGAAAAAAGTAAAGATTTATATACTGCATTGTTTGGCTTTGCCAGATCAGAATATGTTTATACAATACAGTGCTACACAGTCCAGATTGGGATTTCCATTGAGATAAGGCATTTCTGTTGCAGCAGTTGGTGAGCAAATACTTAGTGTGGAATATTCTCTTTTATCAGCTCTTTCAGCTGTAAGGAGGAAATCTTGTTCTGAGATTAGAGTTCTCACCTGGTTAAATAAATCAGTTAAAAAAAAAAAAAGCTGTTTCTGCTTAAATTGGGTCTTAAGCTATGTGTTCAAAAGAAAATCTTGTCTTAAATGCGAACATTTATTCCTATGTGAAGAGAGTTGTATTTTATTGTAAGAAAATACACTGAGAACATATTCCAAGGTTAGATTTTAGTGATAGTGGTGTAAAGACGCACTGGAACAGATTGCCCATGAAGGTTGTGGATGCCCCATCTCTGGAGGCATGTAAGGCCAGTCTGGATGTGGCTCTGGGCAGCCTGGTCTGGTGGCTGGCCACCCTGCACATAGCAGAGGGTTAAAACTAGATGAGCATTGTGGTCCTTTTCAACCCAGGCCATTCTATGAAATAATAAGACAGTAATATTTGGTCTCTTGAGTGCTTCTGCATACTGCTGGTCATGAGGCAGCAGCCATTGTATAGTGAGAATAGTAACAAAACCAAAGAAAATGATTTGAAAACTTGAAATGAGCGAGTGTGTCATTTGTTTTGATCTGGCTGTATAACTGAGTATTGCTAGCTAATAGGAAAAGAAGTAAAAGTGGAGGAGAAACTGCTTATATTGAAGGTTCTCAGAAAGACATACAGTAGACTGCTGCGTTTTGGGAGTACGTTATGTAGCATTGTTTTTTTCTCTGCGTGTGTGTGAGACAAGTCCTCTGCTAAGTTTGTGAAGCAGGAAAATCATCTTGATCTCTGGTGGCAGCATTGTTAACAGGGGCTGCTGAGAGCCCGCAGCCATCACTAAGCGGTGCAGTTAGCGGTGCGGTGCAGCGCCTGGGTGCTGCGAGGGCACGAGGCCCCGTGTGAATTTCCTTCGGAACAGATTCCTATCAAAGCCTGTCTTACAGGTACACCTTGGCTATCCGTATTGCTGCTGTTGCTGCACGGCAGATGTGAGTGTAAAAATAAATGTGTGAAGCACCAGGCAGAGAATATGGAATTGGAAGTCTGAGAGCCACATCTTCGAGCAGCCTGTTATCCTGAATCCTGGACTGTAGCTGTATGGCAGTGTGTATGTATGTTTTATTGCTGATCCGTGGTATTTCCTGTAGGCAAGTAATCAAAGCTCAATTTATAAATGACAATAGGGAAGCCGGTACTTCAGACTGATGATCTTTTGAGTATGAGTAGCTCTTTTGATGTCCAAATGAGAAATGGAGAAATATCTAAAATTAACAATGGAATATGTGAAATTAAGAATGGAGTGCAGACCTTGGAGGAGAACAGGCAGGGCCGGGCATTGAATGAGATTTGATGTGCTCCCATGAATTGTTACTTCTTAGGGTTAAGGCACAGAAGGAACACAAACAGCTGAGGCTTCTGAATCCCAATGCAAGTTGATGCTATACAAGAAACCTTGATTTAGATATGTGTGTATGTATACATGTAATCAAATATATATGTGTGAGATTGAATGTAGGTGTGATTAGCAGTTCTGTCATTAGCAGTTCAGATGCAGCTAGGTTTAATGTATCATTCCCATGCCCTAGTTTTGCTGAATTGTTATAAAAAATGTTGAGAACTTAGGTTGGGAAAAAAAAAAAAAAAAAAGAAAGAGAGGAATTGAATCATTTAATCAGTTTTGCATCTGAAAGCATGTTTAAGTATTGTGTGTACAACAGCGTGGCTTTGTGGACTAGTCCCTAGTTCTGTTGCAGGATTATTTCTGGGTAGTCAGATGCCATTTTTGTGCAACAGGTTACCTATAGTCCATGTATAGACTACCATAGGAGTTGTGGGAACTTTTCCCCCTAGAGATGCACCAGTGGTCCTTAAAGAGTTTAATTTGGCCTTGCTTCTGGGAACAGTGAAGTTATAGTGATGGTGGTCTTGATGGATAGAATGGGTTTGTCACATGGTCACATATGAGGCTTATAATTGCTGTACTCAAGACTTGCTCATCTAGACTGCAGGATTCCTAATCGTTATTAGAAGCTGTCGTTGGGGTTGGAAAAAACCCAACCAACTCTTTAAATTCATGCCTAACTTGTTGGATTCAGCATTAATAGATTAGGCTTTTATTCCTCTCTGGAATGTAAGATTTGCTGAATTGATGGTCCATGGGTGTTACTCACAGCAGCAGGATTCAGTGGTCACATGTGTTGGAATGAAGGATGAAGATCTCACTGTTGCTCTTTGTTATTTTTCCTCAATCTGAAAAGACAAAGAGAAGTCTTTCCTTTGGAGAGCTGAGACTTGTGGTTCCTATGCATTAAACCCATCTAATAGAAACAGAACTGTTTGAAGTCTTCACGTGGAGGAACTTGCAGAATATTGCAGAGCTTTATATGTATGTGCAAGAATAAATGTGTATGAATGCTGAAATTGAGAATGATCAGGTGAAGCAGCGATGGTATGTGGCCAGTGGCAGAATAGCTGGGAGAAAGAAAATGCAGGTAGCTCCATTTCTAGGGCCAGGTCTTAAAAAAAAACAAAAACATCAAGCTCTTCCTTTGCTGAGATTTCTGTTTAAAACTTCTGCCATTTACAATGTCTGTCTGTTGTATTGCAGTTTAACACAGTACATTTCTGCTGAAAACTTTGTGTTGTTTGAGATAAAATCAAGTTCTCCAAATAAACAACGTCATCTTCGCGTTGCCTTTGGAGAATGATTTCTTCTCCTGATCCTACTTAACAGAAACTTTTACAGAAAATATGCTTTTGTTATCATTAAGTCAGTTTTCTTTTTGGTTGTGATTTTAATATAGAGGCAGGATTTATGGAAATAACTGTAAGGTAGTGTTGGCCTAATTAGTCATTATTTCTGGCAAGGCATAAAAAACTGGTCTTTTTTGTGCCTAAAACTAATGGCGTGCTTTGTGTTTAATCTGCAGGCCTTTTGTAAAAACAAATGATTGTGCTAAGGAGTGCAAAAGATGCACGATTAAATTCCTTATCATTCATACTACATATTGGGCTACAGCTTGCTACATCCTCACTAGATATTTGGCATGTTGTTCCAGGGAATCATATAGGTTTTGAGTTGATAGTCCCATTCATTAAAGTAGGCTCTGTCTCCCTGGGAAACCATATATTTGTATGTAGGTATTTACATAAAGTGTTGCGTGTTTGTTTTTTAAGAAGAAGTAGCAGTTGCTTTACTTATTTGCAGCAGCAGTTTTGGAATTGAACGTGGTTTTTTTATGAATGTCTGTTTGAGGGTTAAGTAGAAAACACAGCTTCATGAAAGCATTAACACCTACTGCAAGGTTTTGCAGGGAGTTCTAATGTTATCCATGTGATGTTGAGCTCAGTTCTGGCTCTCCAGTGGGTGGGATTCTTGGCTTTGCTCAGACAAATCACCAGTAATGGGTATTTCACCCAGAAGTGACCCAGGTGCCTTAGAGAATTCCACCACCTTCTGCACTCCTGTACGTGTGGAATGCTTCCCTAATCAGGCTTACGAAGGGAGCATTAGCACAGGAAAGATCGAAAACCTGCCTTAATAAGTAGAAAATAAAAATTGGTGTGAGCATGTGACACGACTGCTTCTCTTTGCCTCCTTTCATTGTGGGAACGTGGCTGTGCTACCCCTGATGTCCCAGTGTGCCACCGGGCATTGCCAGAGCATCAGGCTCCTTCATATGTTCCCTTTCACAAGTCTGTTTCGTGATTAAACTTTGAAAACTTGCAGCCCCCAATGTGCAACTGCAGTTCTGTGGTAGCTGTGACATTCCTTCCCTCTGCATGCTGTGAACTTCATTCTATAGTAAGATGATTATATTGTCCTTTTAAGTTGGTTGTCAGCAGAGAATAGGGAAGCTGCACTTAGAGCATCTGTATGCAATCTTTGCGACAAGCAGGACCCTCTGGAAAGCTGTTACCGTTGGGGCAGAACTAATCATTCCGTGTGAAATTATATAAGGAGAATTAGCTCTGACTCTACCTCATTTCCTTTCATACTGCTGTGAAAATAAGCTTGGAAAACGTCAAACCTTCCTCCTTGTTTCTCTGTCCAACTACTTTATTAAGTGCTTTTTTTGTAGCGCTCACTTCTTGTAGATGCTCTGAACAAAACTGATGACATCTGTTTCTGGTTCCTGGTGGGATAGGTTTCCTCCTCGGGACTGGAGTCCCAGGTTTGGCTGCTGCTGCCCTCCCTCTGCTCTGACTTTATTTCCCCAGAGGATCCCTCAGAACACTTCATTCTTAAGGTAGCATGCTTGACACGATAGAAAATTGTCAATCACAGGCTGCCTTGGTGATTTAGGAAAAAGAGATATCAAAAGCCTGCGTGGAGCTCTGAGAAGCAGTAAAGTCACCTGCTGCTTTGCCTGGCAGGGGTCTACACTCATACAGCCCTCGCGTTTAGGAAAGAAAACCCATTTCTCAGGAGTTCAGCCTTGTGCTGGATGCACACAGTGCCCAGGAATACGTTCTGAAGTCTCCACCTTCGCCCCTCAACAACCTAATCCGTTGCTTAACTCTCCCTGGAGGTAACATGTTTCTCCTAGGACCTATTCTTGTTTTTTTTCCTAACCATTTAAGCTTCTTGTGTGCTCCCAGCCCCGTGCCCCGGATATTGCAGTGGGATATGATCATCATTTTTGTAACTGCTCTTAACCTATTTTGAAGCCTGTGCTCCACTTCTTCAGTTGTCTCTTTTTTTCCTTTTTCTTTTCTGTACTAAGCAAAGTTATTTCCCTTTATCTTTTCCTGATTGCTTAGCTTTTCTTTAGAGCTCTTCCAGTTTCCTATACCTTTGTATCCAGATCTGAACTTGGATCAGCCAGTCAGTACCAGTGATGTTACAATCTTTTGTATAGGAGACTCTTGTTTATATTGTAAAATGTATATTTTCCTATTTCACATTTAATTTAGGATTAAACCTCCAGGCATGGTGATGTCACTTTCTCACTTATTCCTCATTTGTTCCTTCTCTGCTTCCCAGAATGCTTGCAGCTCTACCCAGGTAACTGTAAAGTTTTGCAAGTTTATTGTTCATCATCTAGACGTAAACTGAAGTATTAAATCATCCTGCACTGGGAATGCTGTCTTTTGGAATTCAGCTTCACAACACACTTTTGTGTGTCCTTTGCAGTCTGTGCCTCTTTTCCTTCACGATTGGAATCTTTCTGAATGCTTAACGTTTCTCATTAAGAGTGAAGGCTTTTAATTATTCAGTGGAGAGACCAAAGGGGGGGAAAAAAACCCTTGCATCCTGTACCTTGGTACAAGCCTGCTGGCTGGAGGTGGGATCATGGAGTGGCTGTGGTGTAATTAATTGAATAAATATATATATGCATGCTTATGTGTCTGATTACCTTGTGGTGTATCCATAGTCTTTATGGCTATTAGATACACATTAAACAAAAACAGCCTGTGATCAAACACATGTAAATATTTGATGTTAGTGTTATTTTGCCAGTCATGTAGAGCAGGGAGGAGGAAAGTGAAAAAGTTATTTCTGTACTTCAAAACCTTTCCTTTTTTTTTTCCTTGTTACTTGGAACATAATCTGCAGGCATTTTCCTTTCATGTTAGTGTTGTAGCACACCTGATGTGATCAGAAGCCCTTTGTGCATTTAAGTTTCTAAAACCTAAGGAACGGAGAGATTCTTCCAGTGACTCAGAAAGTACCATGGATGGTAGCTGATGGTCGAGGCAGATGTGATGGCAACCTTTGTGCCCAGCAAGGCCGCAGGAGGATCTGCAGCTGTCCGCAGGGCTGCTGGCCTTTCAGAAGCAGAAGTGATGCAGATGAGGCATGGCCTTCGAGGCTTTGCAGTGCTTCTGCTTAGGTTGTAAAGCTCTTCCTCACTAGGCCCACAGGAAGCCCTTCTGTAGAGCAGCCAAATTGGCTTCGTTATTAAGCACTTCTTTTCTGGCTCCCTGATGGTAACTCTTCTCTGTGGTGGCAGGTCTTCAAAGAAGAGCCTCTGTGACGGCCTCTGTGTTCTGTCTGGCTGGGTGTGTGGCCTCGCCACCAAACTCTGCATATGATTTCTGGCTTGGAGGCTGTGATGGGAGACAGAGAACAGTTTCTAGAGGATTGTTCAACTTTTTTCCTTAAATTAAGGTCTCCAGTGCTAAAACTTTTTTCCTTGAGACTCTAGCTTGTGAGCTGTCTTAGAACGTATGCTAGTGTAATGGATTTAAAAAAAAGTGGTTAAAAAAAAAGCAGCTGAAGAACATAGCTAGAATAATAGGCATATTAAAAATAATAATAAAAAATACTTGCCATCAGACAAACTAAATTTTTTAAATTCTTATGTTATTCTCTCCTTTGCCAACTGCTTTCTTGCATAGTCAGTTTCTTCTCAGTGCTCAATGCAGCTGCATTGATTTCTGGGCTGTGTAAGATCCTGCCCATTCCTCTCTGGGCTGTTAGGAAGTTGTGTTCATTTCCAGCGCACCAAGAAGTAGCCACATGTGTGCTTTCTGATCTCAGGACTTGTGTTTCCACTGGGGCTTCCCTGTGCTTCACCTCTGCTGCTGCATCCCTCTCCTGGAGGCTGTGCAGGTGAGATGTGCTCGCTCTTCTCTCTCTTGCAGGGAAGCTCCTGCTCTGCTACATGGAGGGAGAGGCAAGTGTTCCCCCTTCCCCTGCTCCAGCTGAGGGCTTTCTGAAGGGACTGCACTTAGGAGGCAAGCTGCACACAGAAAGGTACGCTCTGATTTCATCAGAAGCATGTGCTTGAGAAATGGGAAGATACTGTAAGTTCAGTAATATGTTCAGCAGAAGCAGCAGCCTGTAAGTAATATACTGAAAGAGGAACTGGATGAAACATGAAGACAACTTCCAAATGAGAAAAGCACGTGGTTTGCATTATTTCCTTCTTGCTTGGTTTTTTATATTGGCATCGTCATAATACAAATGAATGTGCTTTTTCCCTCAAAGTAGTGTTTAAAATTTGATTACCTGCATATTTGTGTTCAGTGTTTAGAGACGTTTGAAGGGTTATGTTCTTTATCAGCTATTTGTTCACTGAATTGTTCAGCTCAGTGTTCAGCTGGAAGTTGATTGGTAGCTTTTATTGCAGGCTATCCTGAGAGAAAGTCTGAAGCATTACGTATGTTTTATTACTGCGTTTGAAAATGTGAACTTTGAAAGTGTTGTTATTAAACTCTGTTCAAGGTACAAAATCTCTCCAGTTTTCTAGCATTAATTATGCAAGCGTGGAAGTCTCAGTTCTGTTTGAAGGTAGGGCTCTTTATTTGCAAGTTGCTGTTAAACTAAATTGCCAGTACAAGAGGACATTCTACTAATAAGCAAGGGATGCCTGGAATTGGCTCTACTAAAGGAGAGAATTTAATTCATCCATCATCAGGGATGATGTTTCTTAGCAACACAAAGTATTTTCACCCGGGGTGCTTTCACAAACTTTCACATTTTTCTTCAAATACAGTTTGGTAATGTTTTATATGACCTGAAGTTTGTCCATCTGTCCTGAAGATCCCAATCCTATTCTGTTTCCCCCAACCATCAAATGATCTGATACACGTTTGTTTTCAGTGTAATGATACACGAGTTGACTGGAGAATCGTTTCACATGTCGCATTTTCCAAAGGGTTCTGGGAAGTTATTTCCTTCTCTGTATAGCAAAGCTAAAAGTTATTGAAAATGTGTTATGGTTTCATAATAAAGCAGATACAAAAAATATTGGCTTGGGAGCTAACTAAATGCTTTCTGATAGCCATAGCCTCCAGGGAGATACTTAGATCGTTTGTAATAAAGGGCTGTCTTTGGTATCTTTTGGTGAATTGACTAGTATTCTGTTTAGATCATAATTTATGAAAAAAACCTGCCTTGATACACAATGTTACATTATCAAATTGTTTGGGTGTAAGAATTGCCTTAATGTATGGCCAGGATTTGTAGTGTTTATTCTTGTGTTCCTTGTGAACTCAGATTAAGCTGTTGATTCATGAAGACTCTTTCTTTCTTACCATTTTTATTTAAAAAACTCACAGGGTTGCTGGGGAGATTTGACTTGGTGAAGGAACATCATCAGGTGGTTAACAAGTGGTAGCAGTACTGGGAACAAGCATCTTTTGCTTTGAAAAATAATGTATTTTTGAATTTTTGTTAAACTGCTCTGGAAACTTCAGTAATTCTGATATCTGCTAAGCTTCTCCTTACATCTTGCTTTGGAAAGAGAGATTTTAGCAGTTGCAGGGTGACAGCTTTATCAGCGATGCGTTTGCAAAGTTTTGTGATGAGTTAGCTGTTACTCAGCTTAATTCACAAATGGATTGCACAGAAACTCTTAAATAGAGGCAAAAGAAATATACAGAAATATCAGTTTGATTCTTTGTAGCTAAAAAAAAAGTTACAGCTAATGTTAATGTCAGCTGTGTTTTACTGAGCTTTCATATATACATGTAGAGTCTTTGTACGTATAGAATCACATGTAGATATGAAAAAATGGACTGATAGAAATACTGTTAGGGGTACTGTTATGTAAAAGGTTTTTTCGATGGTGTTTTAGAGAATATGTATTGTTACCACAGGGGGAATATTTAGGGAGTGCTGAGAGCTGCCAACAAAACCCATGCTTGCTCTGCAGTTTAACAGGATAGGTTTCTATAAGGATAATGACCTCACACAAATGAACTTGCCAGTAATTCCTGTGTGATTACAATCTAAATGGCTCTGGGTTTCTAGCTGGTGTTTCTACTTCTGGGACTTATAATCATACATTCAAACTTGGACATCTTGTTGAAGATCTTTGATACTCAAGGTGTTGCAGTGCAGGTGTTTTTTAACCTGCTATTTATGTCCAACATGTTGCAAGACCTCCAGGTGTTTCCTAATCTCCTCTGAGGAATCACCAGATTCCAATCACAAAAGCTTCTTTTTGCTATCCTACAGGAAGCAACATCTGAAGAGAGAAGGAAAGAAAGAAAAGCTTAGCTAGCACAAGGGACTTCAGTCTTAACGTATCAAATGTCAGCTCTTTGAACACTGCAGCAAAGCAGTCTGAGACTGCCTTACCTGTAAGTTTGAGCCTCGACAGCTTGCAGAAAGGTCAGGTCTCCTGCAAGCCTTTTTTTGCCTTGGCCTTCTGATCTGCACTTCATCTGAGAAGCTCTGGAATCTGCAGCAGATTCTCCTTACCCGTCTGGGGTCTGTGTGGAAAATTTGTGTTCGAGGAGTGGGTCAGCTTTGCAGCCCTGATGGCTCATCTGGGTAATTGCACGGTGAGTTGTCATAGATGTTTGCTGCAGGCCAGTGCTTGCATTGCATAAGCAAAATGCAGCTACCTGCTGTGAATGTTGGAAGCAGTTCTGGTAGAGATGCATCAGTTCAAAACTGAGAAGAAAAGGGAGTGCTCCCCTTCCTTGTTTTATTAGCAGAATAGTTGTTTGGGCTAAGGCAGTAATAAGAAGGTATGTGAGAATGTGATGCTGAAGGCAAATTTTACTCCTAAGTATTATGGGTAGGCCACAGCCTCAGCCACTGCATTCTGTCCCTTAATGCTGCAGCAGGGACTTTTGCCTGTATTCTATGCAATTTCTTATGGTTAAATATAAAAATACAAAGAACTGATGAAAATAACCTTTTTGAAGGTAGTAAAAGGTCTGGAGTAAGTCTAATATCTAGATAGGAGAACTTGTAATGAGGAACACACACTGGTGTCAGAACTGTTGTAAACTTTCCCAAACTACTTTTCATCTTCACCCATCCATGACTGAAATAAAGAACGTTTAGTGGATGGCCTGCAGCACGATACAAGTTGTACTTTGCTGGCTTTCGGTTAAAGCGATGAACATATTACTTGAGTTTTAGGAAAGACAATTTGAAAATGTACTATCTTTAGAATGAAGACTTGAAGTTATAAGAATAAGTAGTGTTTTTTACCGTTGTTGCATCTTTTTGTGTTCATTCTCAAGGAGTGACGTGATCAGAGTTGTCATTGGGAACATTTAGTTTTTCATGCAAAGCATTTTGGGGCTGCTCTTGTTCGGAGGAACATGTGATGAAATATAAAGGAACTCAGAAATTTGTGTAAAAAGGTCATATGTAATTGCTTGGATGCCATTTCTGCAGTTAGCCTCTGCGAAATTGCAGGGGAGAGTCCAAATTTGTAAGGCTGGAGCATTTCACAGGGTTGTAGCTTGGCCTTGGGGTTCTCATCATTTCGCATAGCTGCGTCCTTTGAGAGTCTGATGAACTGAATTTTATTCTAGTAGTGCTCGGACAGTCATGAATGGGAAGTCAAATGTCTTCCTCTGTACAGTCATTCTGCTAAGTGTTGTGCTTGCATGTAACTTGTCCTGCACGAGGTGTAATTCCTGGTACATCAAAGTGTTATGGAATATCACCACTTTATCTGCTGCGTTACTTTTAGTTTCCCTTATTGTGTGTGCACAACTTTGAAGATTAGCAGACATCATACATGCTCTGTGGCTGCTGATATAGAATGTGGGATTTAGCCTGCCTTTACAGTGCCTGGCAGTGTAGTGTCAGGTAGCACTGTGCATTCTTAATGGCATTTGAATGCAAGACAGCTCTGACCCACATCTCTCTCTCCATCTCTATGTGTATTTTTCAGTATTGCTGTTTTGTAATGAGGACTGGTAAGCAATTAACCAGACTAAATGCTTTAGAGCATTGCATGGAAACTGCATAGGCTTTAAATGCTGTGTTACAAGGTCTTGGTCCAGTTGTCATGTTCTTGAAGAATTGAATTATCAGCCTTGAGGAGAAAAAAAGACAGTCTTTCTCCATGGGACAGTTAGCATAACTGTGGTTTGTGGTAAAAAAATAAACACTACTTAGCAGTTGGGCAGCTGGCACTCGGCACCTATGTTCCCCCATCCATACTCTAGTGCTTTTTGTGTGCTAGGCAGGCTACAGGGAAGCTTGTTTGGTGTACTACAGTGAGTCTTACAAGCACAATGCTTTGAGAATGAGAGCGATGACTGAGCATTGGGTGACTTACCACCTGATTCAGTAAGCAAGCCTTCCATCATCAGTTAGATTAAGAAACCAGCTATTGATATGTGGAGCTATGATGGCATCTTGGTTACACAAACAAAAACCAAGAATGTATGTTGTTCTGTACTCAGTGTTAATGAGCTCTATTTTAAATGAAACTTAGCCCTTTTAAGGGCCTTTTCTCGTGTAGTAAGGAAGAGACTGATCTGTTTCTCCTGCAGCAGGAAGGGCAAGGGGAAATTCAGTTAATCATACTTTTTCTAGCACCACTATCACAGGGAATGATGGGGCCAGTTGCTGAGGTTGTGAAGGACTGCCTGGCCCCAGGCATCTCTAACTATGTGCAAAGACTCATTCTGCTTAAGCCAAAAATTACGAAATGCACAAGTTTAGACTGAAAATTGATTTAGGTCAGGAAAAACTGGATCCTTCCCACTGACTTTAAGTGGGTAACTAGAGACTTCCATGTGATGGTTCATATAAATCTAAGTGAGTGGACGTTAGATTACACATTCATCATTGTGATTTTCACTTTGATTGCTTAGCATGTGTAAGCATTTGGCAGTATTGTGTTTAACTGCTAGGATAATGTTAGCATGGTATATTCTGAATCTATATTTTTCTTTATTTCATTATAGTTGTCTAAATCTCTACAACTTGACAAGTTTGAGACAGGATGATGATCAAGAGTACAGCCGTTCTGTGTAGGAAATTTTCTTTTC